TGTATATAAATACATATCTATTTAATTGAAAGGCAAGAGTTACAGTGAGAAAGAGACAAGAGGCTTTCATTCATTGGCTCACCACCAAAATGACTGAAATGGCCAGAGCTGGGCTGATCCAAAACCAGGAGACAAGAGCTTCTTTCAGGGCTCCCACATGGGGCAGGGTCCCAAGGCTTTGGGCCATCCTCTGCTGCTTTCCCAGGCCACAAGCAGGGAGCTGGATGGGAAGTGGAGCAGCCGGGACTCAAACCACTATCCCACCACTGCAGTCACCTACACCTTCTTCAAAACCTCGCCTAATGTCCCCCCCTGTGGGTCTCTACCTGGCAGAATATAACTCACTCCCCTGTTAGCAGAGTTTGTTACCTCTTGTCACGGTGCTGTAACTTGCCCATTTGAGTGGTTTCTCTCGTCTATACCTGACAGTCAGGGGGAAGGACCTGTGGGATACGGGTCTTCTCAGAACAGGCGTTTCAGACATCACTCATTCCGTAAATACACACCAAGGCCCAACCTGGCACCAGACAACTGTTCTGGGCATCAGGAGCTAAAGAGTAAAGCCACTGCCTCTTGGGTGTGTAGCACTGTGAGACCTGCAGACGTGTGGCCCATGCGTATGACGGTGTGCGTGGGTGCGAAGGCACAGCACGCATGGCTGCTGTCTGTTGAACAACAATGCTGTGTGTTCTGGGTGTTGTCACCAAGCCCGAGGGGAAACCAGACCACGTGGGTGCTCTCAGCAAGTGCTGCCTGCTTGTCTTAATTCATGCTTTACAGCCCAAAGATAATGTCCTTCAAATGTTCCCCAGCAAGAATGTCTGTGTCCCACCCCATCACACCGCCTCCAGGCATGGAATACGGGAAAAGAAGGTGGGAAAATCGAACCAGCGAAGGCTGGGCAGACTGCCTCCGCCCACTGCTGTGGCTTCACCTCGCACAGAAGCTGGCCATCGCTCAACCCAAGGTCTGCTCAGTGCCCACTGCCATCTCACCCCGCAGCCGCTCATGTGTTGTTATGGGGAGAAGATGGACTTCAAACCCGCAGGGATGGGGCCGGCGTGATGACTCAACTGGCTAATCTTCTACCTCCAAGTGTTGGCATCCCATATGGGTGCCAGTTCGTATCCCGACTGCTCCACTTCCCATCCACCTCCCCGCTGGTGACCGGGGAAAACAGTAGAGGATAACCCAAAGCCTTGGGACCCTGAACCCATCCATGCAGGAGATCTGGAAGAAAGCTCCTGCCTCCTGGCTTCAGATTGGCTCAGCTCCAACAGTTGTGGCCACTTGGGGAGTGAGCCACTGGCCCGAAAATCTATTTTTCCTCTCCATAAATCTGCCTTTCCAATAAAAATTAAGTTATATTTTTATTTTTTTTAAAAGAATTATTTATTTGTTGGAAAGTCAGATATACAGAGAGGAAGAGAGACAGAGAGGAAGTTCTTCCTTCCGATAATTCACTCCCCAAGTGAGCCCAATGTCAGTGCTGTGCCGATCTGAAGCCAGGAGCTAGGAACTTCTTCTGGGTCTTCCATGCGGGTGCAGGGTCCCAAAGCTTTGGGCCATCCTCGACTGCTTTCCCAGGCCACAAGCAGGGAGCTGGATGAGAAATGGTGCTGCCGGGATTAGAACCGGCGCCCATATGGGATCCCAGTGCGTTCAAGGTGAGGACTTTAGCCGCTAGACCATGCCGTCGGGCCCAAAAATAAAGTTATATTTTTAAAGAAAAAGAGAAAGAAGGAAAGGAAGGAAAGAAGGAAGGAAGGAAGAGAGAGACAGAGAGACAGAGAGACAGAGAAAGAAAGAAAGAAAGAAAGAAAGAAAGAAAGAAAGAAAGAAAGAAAGAAAGAAAAGAAGAAAGAAAGAAAGAAAAGAAGAAAGAAAGAAAGAAAGAAAGAAAAGAAGAAAGAAAGAAAAGAAGAAAGAAAGAAAGAAAAAAAGAAAGAAAGAAAGAAAGAAAGAAAGAAAGAAAGAAAGAAAGAAAGAAAGAAAGAAAGAAAGAAAGAAAGAAAGAAAGAAAGAAAGAAAACTAATAAACTCCTGGCACGTGTAAGGCAAAGATCTAGCCCTTGAGGCATTGCACTGGGCCCAAAAATAAATAAACCTTTTTCAAAAATAAAAAGAAAAGAAAAAGAAAGCTAGCAAAGATGGAATCTGCATGAAGACTCAACTGGTTAAACCTCTACCACAAAATGCCTGCGTTCCACACGTGTCCCGGTGCTCCACATCCCCTCCGGCTCCCTGCTTGTGTCCTGGGAAAGCGGAAGCTGGCACAAAGCCTTGGGACCCTGCACCCACGTAGGAAACCTGAGGGAAGCGCCTGGCTTCAAACGGGCCCTGCTCTGGCTGCTGCCGGCACTTGGGGAGTGAACCAGCGGATGGAAGTTCTTTTTCTGTAACTCCTTCTCTATGTAAATGTGCCTTTCCAATTAAAACTATCAGAGGGACAGATTCAAATCCAGGGCATGAGATTCTGGGTGCAGGGGAGGAGTTGAAAGTACTAGAGCGTTTCCAGGCTTCCCACGCCGCCCAATGATGGCTGCATGAGCAAATGATAGGGGCAGCCCCCTAATTTTCTCTGAGTAGATAAGGACCCCAGGCCAGGTACCCTGGGAGGAGTAAATCTTAAAAGTTTCAGAGCCTGAGGGCGGAGGCTGGGAGCCAATGGCAGTGCCCGCCGCAGCTCCTCCTCCTCCTCCTTCTCCTCCTCCCAGCTGCAGGCACACCCACGCAGCTTTCTCGGTCCCAGGAACGGGATCTCCCCCAGGAACCTTCCCTGCTTCTGACATGAGTCCCGGCTGCTGGCTGCGTCCCTCTGCCGGCTGTCCCACGCCGACCCTGGAGTACCCCGAGGAATAGCCGGGCAGGTAAGGATACCTGCACACCTGCGTGCATCAGGCCCCTGCCACACCTGGCAGCGGAGATTCCTGCTGGGGAGTGAGGAGAGGCGGCCGAGACTCCAGGGCTGCTGCTGCTGCTGGAGGAGATATGAGGTACCCATAGCTCCCTCTTACCCCGTACTCTTGCTGCTCGTTCCCCAACCCCGCCAACGTGGGAGCCAGAACCGAGGCCAGAGGGGCTCGGAGGCTGCCGGGGCTCGGCGGGCGGATCGGCTCTGCCCAGGCCTGCAAAGTCCCGCCCCGGCCCGCCCCAAGCGGGCAGGGCCAGAGCCCCCGAGGGCTAAGGGCTGGAGCCTCCTCGAGTGTTCAAGGGAAGCTGCCCCGGGGTCCGCCCACCCTGGCGGGACAGAGCAGACAGGATGGTGATTCAGAGCAGGGACCCCGGCCAAGTGGGAGGTAGTGGAAAGACTGGGTGGGGAGCCGCAGAGAGAGGCTGCAGCCGCCCTGTCCCCGGCCCCACGGAGGATGAGGAAGCGGTGCGTGCAAGAGGCAAGCAACTTGCTCCAGCTGGCCTGGGTCTGACTCCCAGTTCTGCGCTTAGAAATCAGGTGTGTGTGCCTAGAAACTGTTTAATTAACCTCTTTGTACAGCACTGGCTTCGCCGGCTCATTAGGAATTTAAAATGGCTCATTGCCTTAAGTGCCACTTGCCACGCTGGCATCCCGTATGAGCGCTGATTCAAGCCTTGGCTGCTCTGCTTCTGATCCACCTTTCTGACAATGCACCTAGCCAGGCGATGGAAGACAGGCCAAGTGCTTGGGCCCCTGCCACCCACGCGGGAGGTGACCCAGAGAGAGTTCTAGGCACCTGCGTTTGGGCCTGGCCCGGGCCTGCCATTGTGACAGTTAGAAGAAGGAATCAGCAGGGGGTACGATCCCTCTCCTCTCTCTGTAACCATCTTGCAAACAAATGACTGAATGTTTAGGGGGAGGGAAATTTTTTTTTAGACTTATTTATTTTCATTAGAAAGTCGGATATACAGAGAGGAAGGTCTTCAGTCCGATGATTCACTTCCCAAGTGGCTGCAACGGCTGGAGCTGAGCCCACCCGAAGCCAGGAGCCAGGAACTTCCTTCAGGACTCCACACAAATATAGGGTCCCAAGGCTTTGGGCCATCCTCAACTGCTTTCCCAAGCCACATGCAGGAAGATGGATGGGAAGCAGGGCTACCGGGATTAGAACCGGTGGCCATATGGGATCCCAGCACGTGCAAGGCGAGGACTTTAACCACTACGCTATTGCGCCAGGCCCAAGGGAAATTTTTTTTAAAACACGCCAGACACTACCCTAAGGTGTCTACAAGGGACCAGTGTGTGATATCTGACACTGCCACATCTGTAGTTGGCCTGCAGGGAGTCAGGATGACCTATGACCTTTCTATCTGTGTCCATCCCGAACACAGGTTCCCTGGTGATCAGCAGGTTGAGGCCACAGTGCAGGGGTCTCAGGGCCCTCCAGGCAGAGGACTAACCAGGGAGAAAGGGGCACAACAGTCCTGTCCCTGAAATACCCAGGCCCCTGATTTGCACATTGTCCTGCACACAGCCCAGCCCCCCCCCCCCCCCATGTAGTTATCTGGACCCGGCTGCTCCCTTGTCCTCCTTGGTAGATTCTCACTTTGAGAGGAGTTGGCACCGTGGCACTCCACCGTGAGAGGAGTTAGCCAGTTGGCACCTGGCCAAACCCTGGGCTTGCCCACCTTTCTGGAACACAGAATCCATCCTGGAGCCTAGGCGTGGGACTGTGGACAATGGTTTGGGAAACAATGGAATACCAAACCTATTGTACAAGAATTGTTCTCCGGTAGCCTGGGGGCAGTGTGGCTCCCTGGACCTGCCTACCCACCCCCGCCCTGCCCAACCATAACTTGATGAATGGAGTTATGTTCCGATTTCTTCATTACCTGTGCTGAGCTCCCCCACTCTCTGCATACTTTCTTTAAGCCTCAGTTTCCTCTGTCTGGAAAATGGGTTCCCATGGAGAGCACAGCTGCCCCGACAGAGGTGAAGATCAGGGTCAAATGGTGATCAGGATCCTACTCAAACCGGGTCATTTCTGTCTGTGTCCTTGCAGTAGCTGCTGATACTTGCGTCCACCATGAACTGGGGGGTCTTTGAGGGGCTCCTGAGCGGCGTCAACAAGTACTCCACGGCCTTCGGGCGCATTTGGCTGTCTCTGGTCTTCATCTTCCGCGTGCTGGTGTACCTGGTCACGGCAGAGCGCGTCTGGAGCGATGACCACAAGGACTTCGACTGCAACACCCGCCAGCCGGGCTGCTCCAACGTCTGCTTCGACGAGTTCTTCCCCGTGTCCCACGTGCGCCTCTGGGCCCTGCAGCTCATCCTGGTCACGTGCCCCTCGCTGCTTGTGGTCATGCACGTGGCCTACCGCGAGGCCCGCGAGAAGAAGCATCAGGAGCTAGTCGGGAAGGACGGTGGGCGCCTCTACCTGAACCCCGGCAAGAAGCGGGGCGGGCTGTGGTGGACATATGTCTGCAGCCTGGTGTTCAAGGCCGGCGTGGACGCCGCCTTTCTCTACGTGTTCCATTCCTTCTACCCCAATTACACCCTCCCCCCCTTGGTCAAGTGCCACGCAGCTCCATGTCCCAACACCGTGGACTGTTTCATCGCCAAACCCTCGGAGAAAAACATCTTCACCCTCTTCATGGTTATCACGGCCATCATCTGCATCCTGCTTAACCTGGTAGAGCTCACCTACCTGGTGGGCAAGAGGTGTCGTGAGTGCTTGGGGGCCAGGAGGGCCGGGAACACCTACCTGAGGTCTCACCCAGACTCTGTCTGCAAACAGGACGACCTCTTCTCAGGGGACCTCATCTTTCTGGGCTGTGACACTCCCCCACCTCTCTTGCCAGACTGTCCTCGAGACAATGTGAAGAAAACCATCCTGTGAGAGGTTTGAAGGGGCTGGCTGACAGACGAGATGGGGAGTGGAAGGTTCCAGATTCTGCTCCCATGGGCCCAGCCAGGGAGTTGAGCTTCCAGCAGCAGGAGACAGAGAGCCTGATAACGCTATTGCTCAAGTTCTGTGGCCTTGCACAAGTTAACCCTCAATTCTGGGCACCAGTTTCCTTCCCTGCAAATGGAGATTCTGAGGCTTGTGTCACACGGTGATTGCCAGGAAGGATCCAACAACAGAACAGATGTGCAGAATGGAACACAGAGTATGTGGCCCATGGACAGGCAGGGCTTAATAAAGGTCAATCCACACACTGATTCAAGGTTCTCTTTGGTCATTTAGCCTCTGTGACTCTTATCACCCATCCCTACCCTTCCAAAGACTGACCCAGCTGCTATGCTGCAACACACCTGCCAGTGAGAGCTCAGACAGCTGGTGGGCCATGCTAGGCTTCAAGCACACACAAAATGTGGAGCTACAAATAAGCCTGGTAGGAGAACTTGGGAAGCTTCCCAGCCAGGCTACACTTCCCACTGGGGAGCATGGGAGCTGGGGCTGGTGATAGGTCAGGCCATCTAGGCTGTAGCACCTATCAGCATACAGATAAGCCAGGGGCAGGTTGGATTGGGCAGGTCCACAGCACACACTGGCATGAGCCAGGCCAGGCTGGACTGCAATACCCAGCAGCTCATATGAGTGCTGTGGGCCAGGCTAGGCTAGATTTCTGCACCCACTGGTGAGAGTTGGGACTGGAGGCAAGCTGGGCTGAGCCAGGCTGCAGCACCTGTTGACAAATGCTGAGACTGGGGGCAGGGCATCTCAGACTAGGCCCCAGCATCTGCTGGTACATGAGACCCAGAGCTGGTACATACAAGACCCAGGGAGTAAACCTGGTAGAGGAATTCCAGGGGCTTCCTTGCTGGGCTAATGCTTCCAATGATGAATGCGAGAGCTGGGACTGGGTGTAGGCCAGCTGGCTAGACTGTAGCACTTGCTGGCAAGTGCATGGAATTGGTGCAAGTTGTGTCAGGCTGGACCACAGCACCCCTCTGCAAGATCTGGGACTGGGAGCAGACCTGGTAGAGAAATTATGGGCACTATTCTACTAGGCTGCAGTTCTAACTAGCAGGCACAAGAGCCAGAAGTGGTAGCAGACTGGGCTGGGCAAGGTGGCAGCACCCATTGGCATGTGCTATGGGTTGGGTTTGGGGGCAGGTCAGGCTAAGAGAGCCAGATGGGATGCAGAATAGACCAAGATATACTGCAGCACATGCTGGTGCATGCAAACATCAGGGCTGGGGGTGGACCTGATGGGAGCTATTGGGGGTGGCCACAGCACCCGCTGATATGTATGAAGACCAGGCCTGTGGTGGGTTTGGGCTGGGCTCGGCTGGGAGAACTGAGCAGGCAGCTGCATCTACCAGCACTCAGTGTGTGCTGCGAGTGGTGGACCAAATCTGACCCTGCGCTGGCTGGGGCACACAAGAATCATGTCTGGGGTCACCCCGAGCTAGGTTTCTTGGGGGGACTCTCGCCTGGATGGCTGGACTCAAAGCCTGGCCACAGGGAAGACTGCAGTGTAGGCAGTCTGTCATTGAAGTGCATGCGTTGAAACTGGCCTCCTCAGTTGCTAATGGCCTGTGCAATGGTCAGCATGCCCAGATGCACACAGGGAACATGGACCAGCAGAGGATGTCAAGTGCCTCATCGAAGGGACCGCGCTTTTAGGTTGGACTGCTCTTTTAGCCAGGATTTGCAGCAAGTTCCTGGGCTGTACATTAGATGTACGCTGAGGTCGACCATGTCAGCTAGCGGACCTTGGGTTGTCTTAGCCCTGGTACAACAAGGCCAACAATATTGAAACACTCTTCCCCACATCGGTCTCTCCAAGGCACCATCAAATAACCATCCCCCCGACCATCACCGGCTACTGATACAGTTTGACAACAAGGAACAGTGCCCTCCCTATAGATGCTGGAGGAAAAAAAAAAATGAAAACATTTGTCCCATTACCTTCCTCCATACCCGGTCCTCCCTACCCTAATCCAAGACTCATCTCTCTCAGCTGCATAAACATTTTAAAAAGAGAAAAGAAAGACTGACTCAGATCCAGGGGAAGAGCCGTTCCACTGCTCCCCACCTCCCTACCACCCGCACTCTCAGGAGCTGTGCTCCTGGCTCACACTCAAGCTCCAGCTGCAAGCTGAGGCCTGTGTGCAAGCAGAATGCAGCTGGCTTGTGGGGAGCTGCAGGTGGCAGCAGCAAAGTTCATGGCCTCTGGAGTCAGAATGGCTGTACGTGGAAGCCCAAGGCCCACTGGGACTCTGGGACCAAAGTCACTTCCTATCCTCTCCAAACTGGGTTAATAACAGCCAGCTTCCGGAACTTTGTGAAGACAGACGAGCTCAGGGCTGGGTACCAAGTTAGTCGGCTGAGAAAGGCCACATACACGTTCATCAGTTGGTATTAGGAAGTGCTCAGTGAGTGCAGTGGGGGAAGTCAGGTGGAGAGGCCCCTCCCCGGTTGCACATTAACCTTCCCTGTCCACTGAGGGGCCCTCACTTGGGTCCCAGACCCCTCAGTAGCCCTTGCCAGGCCACATGCCAGCTTCCCTGAAGGAACCCCACAGAAGACGACAGGGAGGCTGTTCCTGGGGCTGTGCCCACTGGGGCGTTCTACGCTGGTGACTCGTTTTCCGTGTCTCCACCAGACGGCAGGTGCCGTGGTCTACAAAAGACCTGCCATCCCCATGTTCTTGTACCCCCACGTAGGTAGGACAGAGCCCTGGCCAAAGGCAAAATCGCCACCCTCTCCACAGGTGTCAATCACTCCAGACTTCAACACAGGCTCCCAGGAAGAAAGACAGGAGAGTGGCCTCAGGTCAGAGAGGTGGGGCTTTGAGGCTATGGGGGTGGGGCGGGAGGTGAGGGAACTAAGGGGAGTGTTACTTTCCCCTGCATCCTGGGGCTACCAGGTACCAGGCACCCTGCCCCCTTGGCTGTGGTCTCGCCCACAGACCTACCTGTGCAGACAGCCAGGCCCAGCCATGCCCAGCAGGGCAAGAGTGAAGGCGTGTGTCTGCTGGAAACAACCCAGGTGATAGCCCTGAATATGTGCCCAGGGAAGTCCCCCGCCTGTCCTGCTGGCTGACCTGCCCACCCACCTGTCACTCACTCTCGCTTGGTTCATTGGCCCAGAAAGCTCCACCCAGCAGAGGAGTGCGGAACAAAAGCTACCTCCAGGAGGCCCTCAGGCACACAAGCCAGAGGTTGGAGAGCCAAGACTGCCTGCTGCCAGGAGACTTCACACCAGCGAGAAAGTAAGACTGGGCTGGGAAGAAGGGACCAGCAGGGTCCCAAGGGCTCCTGGGGGTTCTCAGGCTGTGGGCCAAGCCCTAGAGAAAGAGGCCAGAGGGGTGGAGGGGTAAGGTCCCTGGAGGAAGCAAGGGGAAACTCCAAGGATGGGGCCAGGGACAGAGAGAAGGGACCAGGAGGAAATGAGTTTCAGTTCAATTGTACAAACCTCCACTGAGTGTCGGCCAGGCCAGGCTCTGGAGGCCTCTGGCAGGTGACAAGCCAAGAGGGAAGATAGATGAATAGACCCCAGGGACCAGGTGACTCTCCTCGTCCTAAGAGCAGGTGCTCAGGATGTTGAATCAGAAAAGTATAGTGATGGGACGTCCAGAGAAGGCGGTGTGGGACACAGGAGTGGCTGAGAGAGGTGGCAGGCACACACATACACACCCAGAGTCCGACCTCCGTCCCTCCCCCTGCCCTTCCCTCAAACTGGCATGGTTAAACTTACTTAGGATTCCCCTAAGGGCAAGGCAGGGCTTGGCAGGGGCGAGGCCAAGCCACCTGGGTCCAAAGAGCCCCTGCTCTGCTTGGAAGCTGATACCGGGGAGCCTTTCTGGAGCCAGAGGGGTGAGGATAGAGACTGTGCCGGGAGCTGGCAGGGGTTGATGGGAACAGGGGCAGCACAGGCCCGGGCTCCCATTGCAAGGCCGTAGCAGCCAGAAGGACCTGATGCTGAGCGCCATCACCCAATCCAAACTTCTCATGTGACCGCAGGGCTGCCACTTGGCATGAAAGGGACCACAGCCCATGCGTCCCTACAGGACGCTCATCTTCCCATGCGTCTGTTGCTTTGTAGAACCAAATAGATCCTGATTGAAGGTGGAACCTGAAGGCCAAGTTCAAGACCAGTTGGACTACTTCCAGCTGTGACGCCTTGGCAGCAGCTTCGGTTTGGCTGGGTCTCCGTGAAATGCGGCTTATTCCCCTGTGAAATGCAGGCAATGGCGCGCTCTCCCCAACCAGGTCTTCGCGAGTGAGGCCATGACGACCCTGCGGTTGTGAACCAGTTTTGTTGCCCGCGCCCACCGCCAGGTCCTTTCCCCAGGCCTCCCGGTGTCAGACCTCTCCCCGGGAGGCGCCGAGGACACAGCCAGCATGAACTGGGCATTTCTGCAGGGGCTCCTGAGCGGCGTCAACAAGTACTCGACGGCCCTGGGCCGCATCTGGCTGTCGGTGGTGTTCATCTTCCGCGTGCTGGTGTACGTGGTGGCGGCCGAGGATGTGTGGGACGATGAGCAGAAGGACTTCGAATGCAACACCCGCCAGCCGGGCTGCACCAACGTCTGCTACGACGAGTTCTTCCCCGTGTCCCACGTGCGCCTCTGGGCCCTGCAGCTCATCCTGGTCACATGCCCGTCGCTGCTTGTGGTCATGCACGTGGCCTACCGGGAGGAGCGTGAGCGCAAGCACCGCCTAAAGCACGGACCCAACGCCCCACCCCTGTACAGCAACCTGGGCAAGAAGCGGGGCGGGCTGTGGTGGACGTACCTGCTGAGCCTCATCTTCAAGGCGGCCGTGGATTCTGCCTTCCTCTACATCTTCCACCGCCTCTACCAGGACTACGACATGCCCCGCGTGGTGGCCTGCTCCGTGGAGCCTTGCCCACACACCGTGAACTGCTACATCTCCCGACCCACGGAAAAGAAGGTCTTCACTTACTTCATGGTAGCCACCGCTGCCGTGTGCATCCTGCTGAACCTCAGTGAGGTCGCCTACCTGGTAGGCAAGAGATGCCTGGAGATCTTCAGCCCCAAGCATTCTCGGCGCCGGGGTGACACGTGCCCACCTTATAGCCTGTCACACGCAGAACACCCCCAGAACGGGGACTCTGTCCCAATGAAGGCCGTGCCAGCTGCAGTGGACACAGGAATGTTTCCGTAACGTATGAGTTCGGCAGCTACGATGGCCAGGCCTGTCCCTGCCTGGTCCCTGAAGCCACCCAGCGTTGCCAGGACAGCTGCAGCAGGGCAGGGCAGGCTGGGGGTTGGGGTGGCTGTGGGGCCAGAGGAAGCTCTCCCAGGGCCAGTGCAGGCAGTGCGCACCTGGATCAGAGAAGTCGCTGACTACTGGAGATTTTTGTACATGGCATAGGGAGCCTCCAAACCCTCAATAAATGATGTTTTCGGACCTGGTAGCGGGGCCTAACAGCTAAAGTCCTTGCCTTGAATGCGCCAGGATCCCATATGGGCACTGGTTCTAATCCCGGTGGCCCTGCTTCCCATCCAACTCCCTGCTTGTGGCCTGGGAAAGCAGTCGAGGATAATCCAAAGCCTTGGGACCCTGCATCCGTGTGGAAGACCTGGAAGAAACACCTGGCTCCTGGCTTCAGATCGGTGCAGCACCGGCCATTGTGATCACTTGGGGAGTGAATCATCGGATGGAAGATCTTCCTCTCTGTCTCTCTTCCTCTCTGTATATCTGACTTTGCAATTAAAAAAAAATCAATAAATCTTTACTAAATAGACACTGTTCTCAGTACTTTGCGGAGTAAGTGGGCAACAGGGAGAAGGAAAGCAGAGTGGGTCACACGGGCCTGGGGATGGAGGCCTCAAGCACAGGTGGCAGCTGAGCCTCATAACCCTAGAACCATTGCCCCCGTTCCCCCCAATACACACATGCACATACAAGCAAGTTCATGCATATGCACACCATACAAATGTGCACACACACGTGTATAACACACATGTGCCGCAGGACACAGAGGGGAGGACCCACGGGCGGAGGCTTCCACTCCAAGGGTCTGGGGACTCTGGCTGGCTGAGGCAGGCACAAGGGAGCCCGTGCCCAGTAGCAGTAGGTCCTCGGTGAGTGTCCATTACACAAGGGTGGGTAGTCCAGGCGGCCTCTGCCTTCACCCTCACGGTGCAGGTCCAAGGCCGACGAGTCCCCTTGCAAGGGTGGGAGGGGGCAACCAGGGACATGACATCCCCAGCAGCCAGGAGCCCCCTGAGACCACCCAAGCAGAAAGGCTGCTCGTGGGTCCTCAATCTGTGGAATTTCCTTTCCTCTCTCATATACACACATAGCCCCTGAGCAACCTCATCTTCCCAGACCCCAAACCACACCTCCAGCTTCACCCTGTCCCCCACCGTCAGTCCCAGCAGCACACCACTCCATGGGGGGGTCCCCATCCCTATCGCTCCCACTCAGAAGCTCCAACTCTGCCCTCCTTGTAGACCAACCCCCACCGCCCAGACACACACACACACACACACACAGAGGAAGGACAGCCCTGCCAGTACCGCTCCACCTCCCCACACTCAGCTCCTCCCCCCAGCCCTGCCCAGAGCCAAATCCACTCCTTCCACCACTGCCGCCACCACCACCACCACCCTGTCTGCCTCTCCATTCCCATCCCAGAGCCTGGCAGCCACTCACTACACCCACCCATCCAAGCCCCCACTGTGGGCACGCAATGACTTATCCGAATACCAGTCTGCCCTGTCATTTCCCTGGCACAGGCCCCCGCCCCGCCCCTGCCCCCTCCATTGTCCCAGCCTGGCCTTTGTAACCGCTAACCATCATCCTGTCTCCACACCCTGTTTTACCCACCCATGACAACATGGTCCCAGTGGGCTACCAGCAGGACACATCCTGCTGGGTCATATCTCAGACCTTCTTCACGCCGCTCCCTCTGCCTGCCCCCTGTGGGCTCTTCTGCCGTTCTGGAACCCTTCCACCAATCTCCTTAAGGTGCCAGCCTCTCCCTGTCTCTGCCCTTCTCATTGGAAGACTCGGCTCCCCTCTTTCCTTGCCAGTCTGTGAACAGGATATTGAGTGGTCACTGAGTCACCCAGATCCCAGCTGCCCTCAATAAATGTTTGTGGAATGAGTAACTGGGCTGTGAGCTGCTTGGGGAAGGAACTGTGTCCTGTTTATCTGAATCCTCCAACCACGCTAGCTCAGGCCCTTGGGAGAAGTGGGTGCTTTTGAACTTGGAGTTGCCGGGTGTGTTGAGAGCCGAGTCCCCTGCGGGCCCTGAGTAGCCTCCATACCCGCCCTTGAATAAGAGGGGCAAGATCAGGCAGTCACCCCACTGCACATCAGGCTCCCTACAAGCAGAGCCAGAGGCTGGGATGAATGGGACCCAGAAGAGGTGAAGGAAGTGGGCTGGGACGGGAAGGGGGGACACAGGGAGGGTCAATCTTGGCCTGATCAACGTGCCATGATTCTAAGCTGCACTGTAGTCACGCTGTCCCTCCTGGGGGAAAGGGCTCCTCCACGGCTCAGGCATCAGCTTCAGGAGACCTCAGGGGCAGGAGCAAGGTGTCTGGCTTGGCGGTCAGGTGGAGTTTTCTAGAGAGGGCTGTGAACCCTGGGCAGCCAACAGCAGTGGGGGATGGGCACCCCAGCAAAGAACACATGAGGAAGACCCTAGGAAAGAAGGAGAGCTCCTCCCTCCCCCAACCCAGACCACAGCTGTGACCACCCAACTCAGGATAGGATAGCCCTCTGGCCAGTTCAGAACCATCTGGCCCCACATTGCCCAGGCCAAGCTGGCTCCCAAGGTCAGGGCACTAACCACAGCCAACAGCCCCTGCAATTCCAAATGCCCATCCCAGGGACATATACCGAGCTCACTCTGAGGTCTGATTACCCCCACAGTGACCTCCCAGGGGCGCTCCCCCTCGAGGCCTCAAGGCCCAAGCTGTGAGGCAGGCAGAGGCCAAACTCTCTCTTAAACAGCCGGGGGGTCTCCAGCGTGACAAACCGGGCTGTGCTGTCCCCAGTCTCTCCCGTACTCCTAGGCCCCTCAACAGCACCAAGCCAACACTCAGCCCCCTCCATGTCCAGCTTCTCAAAAATCCCCTATTCGTCTCCTGTCACATTTTTCCTACCCTCTTTCGTTGCGCCCTCACTCCCACCTACTTCTTCATTAGCGACTGAGTCCACGGCATGAGTCCTCTCTATTCTCCTATGATCTTCTCCCATGACCTAGGGCCGTGGGACCATCTATGAATCACCTGTCCCACTCGCAGGACCACACCTCAGACCTTGTCATCACCCAAAACTGCTCCGCCTCTACAACCTGCCATTCGGTCTTAGTCAACAAATTGACTGATATTGACGTCTATGTGAAAATTCTGCACTAGTCCCTGGGAAGAGCCAGATACCGCTCTTTATCTCTTGGAATTTATGTATCTTTTTTTTTTAAGTCAGATTTACAGAAAGAAGCAGAGAAACAGAGAGAAAAATCTTCCATCTGCGGTTCACTCCCTAAGTGGTTGCAATGGCTGAAGCTGAGCCAATCCGAAGCCAGGAGCCAAGAACTTGCTCCAAGTCTTCCACTCGGATGCAGGGTCCCAAGGCTTTGGGCCATCCTCTACTGCTTTCCCAGGCCACAGGCAGGGAGCTTGATGGGAAATGGAGCAGCTGGGATACAAACAAGCGCCCGTATGGGATCCTGGTTCATGGAAGGTAGATTTAACTACTTAGCCATTGCTCCAGGCCTGAGTTTATGTTCTATGAAGAGGAGAGCCATCATACTCATGGCTTGGAAAGCATCAGGTGCTGGGAGCAGAGGGGCAGGGTGACCCAACACATGGTCATCCAGAAAGGGGCTCTCTGAGACCTGTTTAAATACATATATACTTATTTGAAAAGCAGAGTTGCAAAAATGCAGGTCAAGAAAGAGAGAAGGATCTTTCATCTGTTGGTTCACTTACCAAATGGCCACAATAGCTGGGACTGAGTCAGACAGAAGCCAGGAATCCCATCCAGGTCCCCCAGGTAGGTGGTAGGAGCCCAAACACTTAGACCATCCCTGATGCTTTCCCAGACACATTAGCAGGGAGCTGGGTGGGAAGCAGAGCAGTTTGGACTCAAATCTATGAGATGCCCAGTGTGGCAGGCAGCGACTTATTTCATCACACCACAACTCCATTGACCCTTCTCTGAGATCTCTTATTGTGACTCCTGGAGTGAGGAGGACTTTGTCAAGCAAAGGTGCTGGATTTCAGACAGAGGGTACAACGCCTGCAATGGAGAACTTGGCGGCTTAAGACTGAAAGACACCGAGAGGACTCCAGTCGAGTGAAGGGCCAGGCCAGGCAGCAGTGACTCTGTACGTCTCTGTTCGTGACTTCAGTCTTGCTCCTTAGGACAACATCCAGGCCCCAGAGGGATTCAGCGCAGAGGTGGAGGTGACATGATCTAATTAGCAGTGTCTCTGGTTCCAGCGGGGAGAGGACAATGCCAAGCTCTCTGCGTGGAATCTGATGTAATAAGCCAAGCCACAAACAATGACCTGAGCCAGGGTGTGCACACAGGATGGAAACAAGGAGCTGGATTTCAGGAAGGTGCGAGATAGAATCAGAGATAGGGTGATTTGGCTAGGCGCGGGGATCAAGGAGAAGGAAGAATGACAGTGACACCCAGATTTCTGGCATCAGCAGATGGAGTTATTTTCCAGAAGGAGAGGAGCAGGTGGGATGGAGATGTTATGTCTTTAGCCTCGGACACATTTGAAGAGATTGTTGTTCAAAGACTGATTTATTTACTGGAAAGTCAGAGTGACAGAGAAAAGAGGAGAGAGAGACCAAGATTTTTCACCCCCTGTGCTCTCTCCCCAAAGGGTCATGATGGCCAGGGCTAGGCCAAGCCAAAGCCAGGAGCCTGGAACTTTTAACCAACTCTACCACATGGGTGGCAAGCTCCCAAGTATCTGGGCCATTCTCTGCTGCGTTACCAGGCATGCTAGCAGTGAGCTGGTTTGGAAGTTGGGTGGCTAGGACACAAATCAGCACTCAGGGGCCCGGCAAGATAGCATAACGCCCATATGGGATCCTTGAACGCACCGGAATCCCATGGGGGCGTCGGTTCTAATCCCGGCAGCTGCACTTCCCATCCAGCTCCCTGATTGTGCCCTGCGAAAGCAGTCA